TCCCCTTTCTCTAAGAATTGATACATATCTTGTTAGGAAAGCCCCAGAGCACTTGGGAGTAATTTTTGCTCATTGTACCACGTGAAAAGATTAGAAATGTAAAGAAGTAAGTGGGTGGGCAAAGTTGTCTTTAATCTTCATTAATATGTAGGCACATTTCCTTTCATTCATCCTCCTTCCAATTCACCTTTAGTTTTAAAATGGAGCTATAGTGTCTATACCATAATGTTTACATTTTAATGTACAACTCAGTGCTTTTTAGTATCTTTATAGATTATGTAACTATCATCACTATCTAGTTCTAGAACATTCTTATCACCCCTGAAAGGAACATCGGACCTCTTGGCAGTCACTCCCTTTTCCTTCCTAACCCTTCCAGCCCCTGGCAACCGCTAATCTACTTTGTGTCTCTGTGAATCTGCCAAATCTGACATCTCATGGAAGGGAAATTACATGATATGCGACCTTTTGTGTCTGGCTTTGTTAACTTCGCATGGTGTTTTCAAGGTTTGCTTATATTATAAAATGAATCAGTATTTCATCTTATTTCATGGCTGAATAATCATCCATTTTATGTGAATGCTTTATTAAAAATACATTCATCAATTGATGGACACTTAGTTTTTGTTTGGTTTGGCTTGGTTTTGTACTAGCATTGAACCTGAGGCCTTTGCATGGACCTGCATCCCTGGGCTTTTTTGAGACAGGATCTCACTTAAGCATATAAGTTGCCCAGACTGGGCTCCAAGTTGGAATCCTCCTGCCTTAGCCTCCCAGAGTGCTGAGATTATAGGCATGTGCCACACACTCAGCTATTTAGGTTGTATTTATTTATTTATTTATTTATTGGTACTGGGGATCAAACTCATGTCTTGTGCTTGCCAGGGCAGGCACTTACAACACTAAGCTAAACTCCCTGCCCTTGTTTTTTTTTTTTTTTTTTTAATTTTAAAGCTCTTTAGAACTATTTTGAATAATGCTGCAAAGGAACATACGTGCACTGATTTTTGTGTGGGCATGTTTTCAGCTCTGTTGTATACCTAGGAATGGACTTGCTGGGCCACACATTAGCTTTCTGTCTAATGTTTGGAGGAAATGTCAACATTTTTGAGCCGAAATCAACTGTGACTGCACCATTTCACATTCCCACCAGCAATGTAGGAGAGTTTCAGTCTTTCTACACCTTCATGATGAGCATTTGATGTTACCCTTTTTGTTATAGTCATCTTGGGGTATGAAATGTATCACTGTGGTTTTGATTTGCATTTGTGTGCTGATTGATGATACTGAACACTTTTTCATGTGTTCATTTGTCATTTCTTTGGAGAAATGCCAGTTCACATAAATCCACAGGCACTTTTATTGGGTTATTTGTCTGTTTGTTGTTAAGTTATAATAGTTCTTTATATATCCTGGATTCTAGACCTTTATCAGGTACATGCTTTGAAAATATTTTCTCCACTCTATGGGTAGTCTTTTCATTTTCTCAATACTGAGCTTTGTAGACCAACAGTTTTATCCATTCTTTTTTTAGTTGCTTGTGTTGTATCTAAGAAATCATTGCCTAATCCAGGGTCATAAAAAAAATGATAGAGTTCATGAACTTCACTTTATTTAATCCAGGGTCATAAAGATTTACATTTATGTTTTCATCTAATAGTTTTATAGTTGAACATTCACAAAAACTGTACAAATGTAAAATAGCTTTTACCTTTAGGTCTTTGATCCATTTTGAGCTAATTTTTATATGTAGTATAATATAAGTGTATAACTTCATCCTTTTGCACGTTGATATATAGTTGCTGCTTTATCTTTTTTTAGAAGATTTTCTTTAACCATTGACTTGTCTTAACTTCTTTGTCAAATATCAATTTACTATACATATGTAGCTTTATTTATGGACTATTGTTTCTCTTTTATTGATCTATTTGTCTATAGGCTAGTACCATACAATCTTGATTACGGCACCTTTGCAGTAAGGTTTGGAATTGGTAAATGTAAGCCCTCTACATTTGTTCTGTTTTTCAAGATTATTCTGCCTATTTTAGATTCCTTGCATTTTTGTGAATTTTAGGATCACTTCATAAATTCTTGCAAAACAGTTCAGCTGTGATTTTGATAATGATTACACTGAGTTCATAGATCAATTTGATCAATTTAAGGGGTGTTGTGATCTTAACAATATGAAATTCTCTCTCTGTCTGTCTCTCTGTCCCTCTCTCTGTGTCTCTTTCTCTCCGTCCTCCCTCCCTGGGTATCCATTTATTTACTTTTTAGGATACTAAGGATTGATTGAACCCAGGGCCTTGCACATACTGGGCAGTGCTCCATTGCTGAACTACATCCTCTGTCCTTTTACCATTTTTACTTTGAGTCGGAGTCTTGCTACATTGCCCAGGGTGACTCACAAACCTCTTGCTTTACCCTCCTTACTAGCTGGTATTACAGGCATGTATTACTATACTTGACTGGTACTTATTGAGTATAAAGTTGAACTTAGCCAAATGTACTGTTTTGATTACAGGTTTATTCTGCAGAACATCATATCTGTTATGAAAGATGCAATTATAATTTTAGTACTGTGTAATATTGCATTACTTAGCTGTGCCATACAGAATGATAAATTCTGGTTGAGTAATCTGTGCTGGAAGAGTCTTCCAGCACAGATTCTTCCTTCTCTCGAGTCCCTCATGGTGCGGTGGAACCGATGGCTCACTGAAGAGCCACAGAATATTAGTGTCAGGGGGCTGACCAACACACAGCCCATGCTGCAGGTGGGGAACGGAGCTCACTGAGAAGCTGGTGTCTGGTTAATGGACAGTCAACCTGCCTGTCTTCTTGTGGCACCATCCTGATGGAGCACAGTCAGAAAACAGCGTCTAACAGGCTACATGAACATTAATATAATGTTTCATTTAGGCAAATTTTCCAACATTAAATATTTTACAATTTGCATCCTGATATCCATTTTGCACTGTAACTGCACACATATCCACCTGAAACACAAGTTTCACTTACCACTACTTACTATTCTTTTCAGTACTGGAGATTGAACCTAGGGCCTTCACAGTGTGCAACATTTCTTTCTTTTTTTTTTTTTTCTTAATTTTATTTTGAAAGTAGTAAAAATGCAACAGCACAAGATGGAACAAAACCAATCGAGACAATGCAGTGAAATTGGTACAGGATTTCACAGTAAGATATTGGGATAGTAGTAATAGGTACTATGGTATATCTCTTTAATTTCACAATAGTTGTCCAGTCAATTAGGTATAGCAAAATAAAACCAAAAATAGAACATTATAAAACCAATTGAGAATACTGAATAGAGCAAAAGAAACATAACAAAACAAAACAGTGAAAACAACCTTTGCCTTCAAACAGAAAATAGAAGGAAATCCCCCATGTTTGCTATACTGCATATGGTCATCCTCCCAAGAGATGCTGAGACATCTATCCCCAGTAGCTATGAGGTGGAGGTGGGCGAGGTAAGGGTGCTTGATTTTCAGCCCACGTGGCAGTAGGCTCACAGGTAATGGTTCTTCTCCTGGCCCATGCCGCAGGCACTTACCAAGAGGTTGGGTGAATAAGCTGCCTGGAGTCCCACCATGGCCGGATCTTGGGAATTATCAGTGTGCAACATTTCTAGTCCGCCTTCTCTTTAATTTTCTTTTTTGGTTTTTTTTTAAAGACAGGGTCTCCCTTTGTAGTGCTGGCTGGACTTGAACTCACTGTGTAGCCCAGGTTGGCCCCAAACTCACAGTGATCAACCTGCCACTCAGTCTCCCAAATGCTTGGTGGGATTACAGGCATGGGCCACCATACCTGGCAGATAATTATTTTTTCTTTTTATAATTTTGACATAGGGTCTCACTAAGTTGCTAAATTGTCCAAACTGGGCTCAATTTTAAGATCCTCCTGCCTCAGTCTTCCAGAGTGTTAGGATTTCAGGTATGTGCCACCATGCCCTGCCTCTACTATTGTATTAGCAAGGAGAGTTCTCTGCTGAAGTAACAAACTACACAGTGGTTAAACTGCTTTCTTTCTCCTTTATCATGTAGAGAGAGAGGCTTTGGAATTAGGTCAGTGGAGCGTTTCTGTCCAGACCACTGGTGGTTCAGCAGCACAGGAAAGCATGATAGGCAAAAGACTGTTTTACCCAAAAAAAGCCCATGTCCTAATCCTGGAAGCCTGTGAATTGTTATATTATTACCATTGTGGTAATAATGGTTTAGATGGAATTAAGTTTGATAATCAGATGATTATAAAATGGATTATTTTGAATCACTGAGGCAGGCCCAGTGGAATCTCAAGGATCTGTGCAAGAGTGAGGCAAAGGGATCAGAGTGGTGCAATGTGGTAAGAATACGACCTGCTCTTTCTGGCTTTGAAGGTGGCAGAGGAGGCCATGAGATAAGGAATGTGGACAATCTTGAGAAGTTGGAAAGGGCAGGAAACAGATTCACCCCTAGAGCCTCCAGAAAGGAGCAGAGACCTGCCAAAGCCTTGATGTTTGCCTAGAGAGGCCCAATTTGAACTTCTGAACTACAGGACTGAGGTAGCAAACTTACATTGTTTTAAGCCAGTAAGTGTGTAATAATTTGTTAGAGCAGCCATAGAAATCGAATACAAAGGACACAGGGAATCATACACCAGCACTTAATTGCATCCATCTGGAAATGACCCGTGGCACTTCTGTTTCTATTTAATTGGCCAGAGCAGGTCCGGTTGGTCATAAAGACTGCAAGTGTTTGCTACTCCCAAAGGCCCAGCCTTAGAGGCAACCTGAATAGTGAATATAGTAATATTAATCTGTTACATCCTTGCTACCTGGAGAGCGTGTTCTTATTTTCTATTATACTCTATTCTATTTTGTTAAAAACTAAAGCATCTTTTAAATTGATTCTATTATCAGTGAGTTGTGAACCCTGGTTTGGAAAACACTATGCTATAACCCCTCTTCTACTCCTACTTCATGGATCATATGATATAACCTGGGCATAGCTGATTGGCCCAGGGGAGGGACACCTGACTAAAGCTGACCAATCACATTCCTCTCTTGGGAATTTGGAATTGGGCCATTCAGCCAGTTAATAGCGGGAAGCTGAGCTAGAGAGGCAGAGTCAAAATGGGGATGGAGTGTGAGTCACATGCAAGCCAAAAGGATGGAGGACCAGAAAAGCCCTGAGTAAGCAGACAGGGGTAGTCCACAGAGACAATGGAGCAGCCGCACAGACAGCTGTGCAGCTGGGAGAACATGCAGTCCCAGGAGGAGAGGTGGAGAGAGGGAGCAACTGCCTGAGGATCCGATGGCTTCCCTGTTCCTGGCTCCGGCCCTCGAGCGTCCTGCCTGCGCATCCTTCCCGTGAGATTTCTGCCTCCTTAATGTATCCCCTCCTTGTTTGTGTGAACTACGCTGGTTGGCGCCTGTCCCTTTTCTCTGGTGAGCCTTAGTCAGCCTCAGTCCTGCTGGTATTTCTCTTGTGAGAAACCAGCTGCGGCTCCAAGGATGGAGCTGTGGAGGCACAGATGGTGTTGAAAGTGAACGAACCCAGCCTCCCCTACCAGCAGATTGGGGTTGGCCCCCAGGCTTGGAAGTTGATGTGTGATCTTCAGAGTGGACAAGCAGAGCTATCTGTGTGGGGCTGCACATGCAGGGTCTTGGGAAACCGGGAGTGCCCCTTCGGGCTGAAAAGCTGGCAGAATTTCAGGTTAGGCTTGGCTTGGTGAGGGGACAGATGTGGGCTCTGGACAGACCATGAGTTTCCTCTCTGAGTCTCAGTTTCCACATCTTTGAAATGGAATTGTACAGATCAGCAGAGGTGTGGGAAAACACTGGGAGACAGGAGTGGGGCATAATAATCCTGCTCTCAGGGACTGTGGCAGCTGCTGCTGCTGTTTGAGGAAGCATCAAAGTCCCAGCTTCCTGGAGGACGTGGCCCTGGTGCTGCTTAGGTGAGCAGCAGGACATTCCTCACTGCTGGCTGTGCTTCCTGCTACTGCCCCCCTTGTCACGCCCTTGCTCCTGCTCATCTTTTCATTTTTTCCTCTTCCCTTCCCCATCCTGTCCTCACTTCCCCTCTTTCTGTTATTCCGGATGTTGATACAAACACCGGCTTTAGGAGCCTGCCAAGGTGGGTAGAAAGCACCCCTGGCCTCCAATACTCTAATAGAATGTGCCTGGACCCATAACTAGCCCCTTGTTTGTGTATGTTGCTGAGCTAATTACTGCACCTCTCTGAGCCTTAAGTTAATTATCTGTAAAGTACCCATTTCACACTGCTGTTAAGAGAAATAATTAGCCGCTCAGCAGATCCTAGCTCCTTCTTCCTTCCCTTGCTCCCTTCTTGAGTCCTGCTTCTCCGAGCCTGGCTTGGATGCCCTGGGTGCCCCTTGTCCCTCAGCCTCTGGAATAGTTGTCCCTGATTCAATTATTTGAGCTCTCAGGCATTTGTGGCCTCTCCTTTCCCTCAGACCCTGGGCTCCCTAGGGGTGGAGACAATTTATGTCTTCTGGAAGCCACGGGGGTCCTGAGGCTGGGCTGATTCTCAGGTCTCTGCAGCCCAGCCTCATCTTGGGAGCTGCTGGTGCAAACAGCGTGATCTGTTTTTCTCACTTTAGCAGTTATCCCACCCCAGCCAACTGTGGCATTTTCACACTCCCAACAGTGATAAATATTGATGGGGAGAAGTGCCCCTGGGGGGGGGGGGCTGTGCTACGCAGTGCTCAGACCTGTGAGAGGCCTCTGGGGACTCCAAGAATGAGGGCCAGAGGGGTGGTGGGGGTGAGGGCTATGGGGACTGAGCAGCCACCCCACCTTGGACTTCTTGGAGGAGCTGCTGCCTGGACATGGTGGCCTTCACCTGGCTGCAGATAGCCCTCCTGCCCTGGGGCAGGATGTGGGCAGGGCACTCCTTCTCAGCCTCCTGTGCACCTGCTCCATCTTTCCATGTCTGTCCCATTTCTGCTTATGACTGTTTCTCTTTCCCTCTCTGTTATTTATGGCTTTTTCCCTATCTCTTGTTCCATCTTTTATTTTCATGCCTAAGTGTCTATCTTCTCCTTTCCTTCCCTCTCTCTCCTCCAGCACCTCCAGTCTCTCGGTCTCTGTCTTTCACTTTTCTTCTTTCCCTCCCTACAATTCTGAGAAATTCTGGGCTAGCTGATGGTAGATGGGTCTCTCAGGCTGCAGCCACAACTGGGGAGAGGGTGGGAGAAGATGGAAGGCAAGCGTGGACGTACCAGGGGTTAGGACCACACCCCTGCCTGGCTCTGTGTCCATTGCTCTGCGGGGTGACCCTAGGTGCATACCTCCCTCTCCCGTGCCTTGGTTTTCCCAGTCAAATCAGGCGGTAGATTCCTTCACTAGTTCATTTATTCACCTGTTCGGCTGATATTTATTGAGTGCTTGCTCCCTGCCATTCACTAGCACATACTTATTGAGCAGCAGTCATGCCACTGGATGCCTGCAGTGTGTCCAAGGACAAGAGAGAGAAGGGTCCCCGTCCTTGTGGAGTGGGCACACTAATGAACAGACAGGCCCGGCATGGAAAAACAGGCCAATGACAGAGCAGTTTAGACAATGAGGAGTGTGGTGGGCCAAAAGGAGAATCGGGGAGCTGGATTGGGGAAGGGCACAGAAAAAAGCATTGAAAAAGGCAGTGAGGTTGGGCAAGCAGATGTATGAGGGGGGTATCCAAGGAAAGGGGAACTGCCAGAGCAAAGGCCCTGAGGCAGGCCTTTCCCTGGTGGGTCTATGGAAGAGCAAAGGGTTGCAAAGCTGGAGAGGAGCGAGGAGAATCACAAGAGGTGACTCAGGGAGGAAAAGTGGGGTGAGGTCGGATCCCACAGACCTCACGGGCACGTAAGGCTTTTCCTCCACATGAATTGGTGGGCTTAATTTGAGCCCCTCTCTGCTGCCGTGTGATGAATAATCCTTGGGGTCCATTGGATATCGCAGGAGGGCTGGAACAGCCGTAATGGTGGTAGCGGTGGAGATGGTCAGAGCTGATTATGCCGGCCCTGTTCCAGCTCTGCGTTTGCATGGTGTCCGGAAATCACTGCAGGCCCTTGTCCTCCATCTGGGCTCAATGGGCTGCAGGGGCCGCTGGGCAGGCTGTGCTAACACGGGCCTCACCTCTCTTTCTCTCCACAGAGTGTTCAAGAAGGCGAGCCCTAATGGAAAGGTGAGTGTGCCAGGCGGTGCCAGGGGCTCCTCCCTGAGCCCAGCCTGTGGGATGCTCTCCTAGGGGAGCAGAGCAAACTGTCTCTGCAGAGGCCACTTCTGGGATGTGGGTGACACAACTCTGTCCTCAGGAGCCCTCCATCCAAGTGGGAGTGGCCTGTCAGGAAAGTTCTGTCTGGCCTTTATGGGGGTCAGCTCTGTTGGGTAGAGCTGTCTGCTCATAGAAAAGTGTGTGTGATGAACAGAGGTCCAGCTGACTAGCAAGGGCCACAGGCCAAGGGAAGCAGGTGTGAGAGGCCCCTGGTGTTGCTTTGTTATCCAGGGCGGCTCCCAGGGCTGGTCCCCCTTTCTTTCCGCAAGCCTTGTTTTCCTCTCATTTCAGCAAATGAATACTGCCACATTCTGTGCCAGTCTGGGCCGAGCCTGGTGGGGCTGGGGTAGGGCATGTTGAATGAGTCAGACATCGCTCACAGCAGGTGGCGGGGCAGAAGCAGAGACGGATGTTTTCCATGCAAAGCGTGAGATACAGGGATGCCTGGGCTGCAGGGCCCAGTGTGGGCAGTCAGGGGTGCTTCCTCTAGGAGGGAGGCATTTCCAGACGAGGCAAGGTGAGAGGTGTTCCAGACAGGGCCATAAAATTGGACAGCCAAGTCCCCAGGTGCCAACAGGGAGCAGGAGTGGGAGTAAGGCTGGCGTGGCTGTGGACTGTGTCCTCGGAGACCTGTGCTGGGGCTTGGGAACTCAGACCCCTGGCTTGGCTTGGCACACAGTGCCATGGGGCTTCCCCGTCCTCCTCCAGTGCCCGCAGCAGTGCCCATTGCCTCTCACTGCTTCTTGTTGCACCACAATTCCATCTTGGATTCCTTCTCAGTCCAGGGCCCCAGGCCGCCCCAGCGGATAATCAATCAGAGTTGGTGTTTGGAATGAGAGCCATTTGTCGTCCTTACTTCTGGGCACTGAGGAACTGTTAAAGGGTTTTCAGACAGGGTGGCGTGGTTTGGTTTGGATTTCAGGACAGCCGTTCTGGCTGAGGTGGGGAGAATGCCCTGGAGTCTGGGGCCCGTGAGGCTGTCGGCGACAGGCAAGTGTTGCTGTGGGCATGGAGAGGGAGGATTTGAGAAAGCTGACGGAGGCCGAATCACCAGAATTGCGGAGCGGGAAGGGTAGGATGGCATTCTGATTTGGTGTTGAGAATTTTAGCTGGTGGGTTCTTCCTTGTGAGCTGACTGGGGCCCAGCTCCCCATTGTTTACTTTGTTGAGTGGCTTTCTGTCAGGTGCTAAAGAGCAAAGAGCCTGCATCTGTGGCCCTTCTGGACCCAGTGTCGCTGGCCCACAGTGTGCTTCCTGGGCCTTCTGAGACCCAGCTTTCCTGCTCAGCAGCCTCCTTGGCCGCTGCTCCTTTACCCTTTGTGGTGTTTGTCATGAAGGGCTCACCAGGCCTCATCTATAAAGTGAGGTCAATAGCAACTCTTTCCTAGGGCTTTGGAGCCAGATTTCAAATTTTCTAAGGGTTTGCTTTTCCTGGGATTAGAATTGGAGGGGGGCCCAAGTCTGAGAGGGTTTTGATAAGGGTTAGGGATGGGGCTGGGAGTTTCAGAGGTGCCCAGGTATCCTCCAGGGCAGGGCCTGTACTCTCCCTGGCCCACAGCTGCCAACAGCCCTGTGTCTCTCCTCCCCAGCTCACGGTCTATCTGGGAAAGCGGGACTTTGTGGACCACATCGACCTTGTGGACCCAGTAGGTGAGTCATGGAGGGCGAGGAGGGCAGAAAAGGGAGTGGAGGGAAAGGCTGGCCCAGGGCTCCGGAGGGGCCTGCTGTCCAGGACTGGAGTGGATGGCTCCTGCTTTGGTTAGCAAGCATCTTCTGAGCAACTGTTTCCATCATGTATGGGGCCCTGGGAGGAGACTGCGGGAAGGGTGGAGGTGACAATGGGGAAGTCATCCTGATGTGATATGGAGGGTGAGGGTGATGACAGCCGGCAGTGACTGCAGCTGCAATTATTATCTCTGCTTTTCAAACCAGGACAGTGACGCACAGAGAAGCTCCACAACTGGTTCCAGGTCACAGAGCCAGTCGGTACAGGGCCCAGATTCACATCTGATTTCCTGGCTCTGCAGAAAGACTTAGTTTTGCTGCCTTCTCATGGCAAAAAGTGGGGATGGAAAGAAAGCCTCTGGGCTTTGTGACCTGGGGACAGTTTTCACCTACATGGGGTTTCTGGGTCATGACTAAACTCACCTTCCAAGGTCTTGCTCGAATTCAGGGTTCCTTATCCTCAGAATTCTGACACCTGGGATTGGATAATCATGTGTTGGGGTCTGTTCCATGCATTGTAAGATGTGTGGCAGAATCTCTGTGCATTAGATGCCAGGAACACTACCCCGAATGTGGTTATGACAATCACAGACATCGTTGGAGCCAACAGCCCATAATCTCAGCTATTCAGGAGACCAAGCCAGGAATATCGCTTTTGGACATTGCCAAATGGCCCCTCAGGAGGCAGAATTGCCCCTAGTAAAGAACCACTGCTGTGCTTGTTAGAAGACCCGTGGCTCATTGCCTCTCCCCACAGCTAAGGGTGGGAACCCAGAATTATTACCCCATTTGATAGAGGGGCCCAGTGGGGTCAGAAAGGTTAAACTGTTGTTGTTGTTATTATTATTATGAAGGACATGGACAGTCAAAGTGATACCAAAGGAGGTGACAGGCTGGGAGGATGGGACTGAGACTGCATGAGGCCGAGTCCAGTGAGGAAAGTAGAATGTGTTGTTGGGACATAGTTCCAGAGCGTGTGGCCTTTCCTCCTGTCCCTGGAGACTGTCCTGGGGTCAGAGGGCAGCAGCAAGCCTCATGGGTTCAGAGCATAGTGGTAGGAGAAGACCAGTCCAATGCTGAGGCTGGGGCCTAGGGGTCCCTGAGAAACCCGTGTCAGGAAGATGTGTGCAGGACCAGGAAGCTGCAGAAGGACCAGCTTTACTTCAGGCCCCTCTTCTTTGTTCCTGGGCAGGACAACCCCATTTTCCTTCTCTATCCCTGTTGAGGACACCACATACTGCAGTGTCTTCTGAAGCTCGGTCTCCTCTATCAGTCACAGCTTCTGCCTGAACTGGGCCCTCAAGGCTGTGGTCTGCTTCAAGATGTCATTTCCAAAGGCCCTAAGGCCCACCAGCATAATGTACTGCCACTAACCTGTTAAGGACAGCACTGGAGGTTGGGGACAGCGAGGGCAGGAGGGGAGCAGCTCCTCAGCACACATGGGCACCTGAAAGCAACCACTTCCTACTGGTCTCTGCTGGCCCCTGGGGAGGTTGATTTCATGACACATGGTGAGGAATACTGTATTCATCGTGGCGTCTCCCTCTAGCTTGATCTGGTCATATCTCTTTATGCTATAACTACTCCCAACAGATCTGGGCACCAGTCCAAGCCCCCTGGCCTAGCTGATGGGACTTTGTGATCTTTCCTGGCCTCCAGAATCTGTGTTCCCTGGCCTCAGAGTCATGCTGTTCCCTATGCCTGCCTCGTCCCACTCCTTAGTCACCCAGTCAATGAGGCTTTTTAGTCCTGTGAGGCCAGGCTGCAGCTTTCCTCCCCCAAGCAGCCTCCCATGACAAGCCTGAAGGAGTTCCCTGCACATTCCTGGGACTGTGCATGGACTTACCACTGAGCCCTAGCACCCAGAGCAGGACATGACCCAGGGGCAATGCCTACCATAAAAGGAAGGACAATGCCTGAGCGAGTCCTGCCAGCCTGTTGGACATGCCCTGACCAGCTGTCCCTAGATCTGCCCAGAATGTGTTGGGTTGGGACTCTTCCAGGTACTGTGCCTGAGATTCCCTGAGGGGGCAGCTGTGCAGGCAGGGAGGTGGCAGCAGTGTAGCCAGGGCAAGAGAAGAGTTTGGCCAGAGATGAGCTGGTGATGCCAGGCAGAGGAGTCCCCAAGCCCACATTCCTGGCCTCCTGGGCTGAGAAAACATCTTTTGCATCCAGGTTGCCACTCTGCTCCCAAGGGCAAGCCTCAGGAGGGACATGGGGCCCATCTCACACTCCACTGTGCATGTCTGTGCCAGGCTCTGTCAGGCCCTTTACACCTGTGACACGTTTTACACATATGTACATTGACATGAGCTACCCACGTTTCCTCACATGAGCCCCCAAAGCAGGGGCTACAAATCACAGCTTCCAGTTCTCACATCCAGGGCATCTTAAAAACCCAGCTCTGTTCCTAGGTATTAGGCCGGATTTGTCTACTGGCCAACCTGAGTCATCTCAGCTGAGGCCATTTATGCCTTAGCCTGTTGATGGAATACAGCCATGCATCACTAAATGACGGAGACACTGTCTGAGAAATGTGTCATTAGGTGGTTTTGTTATTGGGTGAACCTCATAGGGTGCATTTATACATATTAAGGTGAGCACGATGTCACTAGGTGATAGAGTTGTGGGGCCATGTCCTATGTGTGGTCCTTTGAAATGTTACACGGCCCATGAGTGTGTCTGTGCAGAGCTGGTAATGGCTCGCATGGAGGGGCACACACCCTGCAAAGGGCAGTACCCAGTCTAAGGAGCACGTACCGCACTGCCGCTCTACAACTCACGTCTGGCTTCTGAATCCTGGAGTACAGTTGGTCCTACGGGTCTGAGACCTGGATTATTCTTATTAACTGATGAAGAAACAGAGAAATTAAGTAACCTGCTCAGAGTCAATGATTGGTGTGAGAGGACAGAGTCCGGGGCCTGGTAGAGGCGGGGCTGGGAAGTCAGGTGTCACTCCCTGGGCGCAGGCTTTCCTGTGTCTCTCCTGAGGCTTTTGAATGGACAGGTGGCCGGGTTTGGAACTGAGCGGATGCTGAGGGCTCAGGGGTTTGGGAGATGAAGGTGGGAGAGTCAGCTCACTCTCTGTCTCCTCTAGATGGTGTGGTCCTGGTGGATCCTGAGTATCTCAAAGAGAGGAGAGGTAGGCTGGGGTCCCCTCCCCTTCCTTGCTGACCTCAGACTTCCAGAAAGGACATCAGATAATCTTATTGCCTCTGTCTGCCCACCCTGCTAGTGCCCCCCACCCACCGCGGTGAATACCACGGCAAGGTGGAGTGGCCTCCTCCAGCCCGGGAGACCTGGTCAAAGCCTAAACGCTTTTCACCTCTGTCATGCCCATAGCAAGGCTGCTGGTGCCAGCAGCTCAGGGCCCAGGGTTCCCTCTCAGAGAACAAAAAGGTTGAGGGATTGTCAAGGTTACTGGGGAGACAGAAGCAGCGGGCAGGACTGGGACGGGACCCTGTGCCTCTGGACACTTGTTCTCTGTCCTCCGCTGCCCCTCTGCTCCCAGCCCATGCCTGCTGCTTACTGCAGCCCTCTCTGTACTGTCAAGCCATTCTCAGGGCTTCTGGGATGGGTGGGGGGAAGATGGCCCAGCAGACACCCCCACTTCCTCCCAGGAGCCGTGCCATGGGCTGCTCTCCAGGGGCCACAGGTCCCCAGTACCAGCTGCTGAGGGGACACAGCATACCCTCCCCACAGGACCTAGGGACAGGCCTGTGGCCTCCAGCGGGCTGATGCCCAGGACGGCAGCTGGTACACTGGGGAGCCTATGTGCTCCCACCCAGACCCCTGATCAGTGCCCCCTTCTCCCCACAGTCTACGTGACACTGACCTGCGCCTTCCGCTATGGCCGGGAGGACCTGGATGTCCTGGGCCTGACCTTTCGCAAAGACCTGTTTGTGGCCAATGTGCAGTCCTTCCCGCCAGCCCCTGAGGACAAGAAGCCCCTGACACGGCTGCAGGAGCGTCTCATCAAGAAGCTGGGCGAGCATGCGTACCCCTTTACCTTTGAGGTAGGGACTGCTTGCCTGCCCCTGCATTCAGAAGTGCCAGTGGCAGGGGTTGCTCAGGGCAAGCACTTGGGGGCTACGGGGCCAGCCGTGCTGGTTACCACTTCACCAGTGTGCACCTGAGTGCACCCCGACACTTGTCCCTTTTTCTCACTCACTGGTAGGTGTTTTTCTCTAGCTACTGCTGGGCCTGTCACCCTTACCTGTGGTTACTTCCCAGACTCTACTGAGCCCACATTACTGGTGGGAAAACGGGGTCCAGGGGAAACTGCAGAGAAGAAACAAACTTTCTGGCTTTCTTCTCTGGGTTGCCACAAGGTGTCTCCCTGCAGACCAGCTGCCCACTTGCCCAGCTTCAACCTCCTGCCCTGCTGTCTTTTGTTGTTTTGTTTTGTTTTTGAGACAGGGTCTTGCTATGTAGCCCAGGCTGACCTTGATCCTCCTGTCTCAGCCTCCTGAGGGCTGGGATTACAGGTGTGTGCCACTGTATCTAGTTGACTTTACAATTCTGAATTTTGAAATTTCTTGTTTCTTAGACTATATGATTCTATGGTTCAGTGCAGTCCCCTCCCTTTCGCTGAGCATTTGAGCATGGAATGGAAATACAGTCATCTTGTAGCTATATTAGCTTCCTAGGGCTTTTGTCACAAATACCACAACTTGGTGATAATTAAACACATGAGTTAAGACAGCACGACTTTATGATATTGAAGTCCAGAAGGTCAGATGTTCACAGTGGGTTTGATGGGCTAAAATCAAGGGCTTGCCAGGTGTGATCCTTCTGGGGGCTGCAGGGGACAATCAGTGTCCTTGTATTTTCCACCTCAATTGCCATGGCTCGTAGCCTCCTTGTCCCTCTGCTCCTCGTGGCGTGGGCTCCTCCTCTGAGCATTGTGGCTCTGACATCCCTTCCCTCTGGCACGGACTCTTCGCCAGCTTCCTGTTTGGTCTTGGATGACTCTGGAGATGACTTCCTGCCTCAATGTCCTTAACATATTCCATCTGCCAAGTTCCTTTTGTTCAGTAGGATATCAGAATCCCAAATTTGGGGGATTAGGACATGGACATCTTTGGGGGACGATTATTCTGCCTATCACAGCAGATGCAGGGGTCTCTGATGGGGGAGACACGGCCTATTCTAGGGGCTGCTTGCCTGGTCAGGGAGACATAGCCTGTCCTCAGAGACCCTACTGTGACAAGTGTGTGGAGGAGGCCAGGGTGTGAGATGGGGCAAGGGCAAGGCAGTGGTGGCTCTGACAGGGCCGGATTCTGTCTGTCTTCTGAACAGATCCCTCCGAACCTCCCATGCTCCGTGACGTTGCAGCCAGGGCCTGAAGACACCGGGAAGGCAAGTTGCTCCAAAGAGGGCCCTGTCTGGCTCCAGGGCTCCTACATCCCCAGGTTCCTAGATTTTTCCCTAGGAAGTGCTGGACACACAAGGCCCCCCACTCCCACGGTTAAGCTTCCTTGGGTCTAGGCCTGCTGGTACTCTCTTGCACAATTGGTCTCTTAGACAAGGCTCTGTGCATGCTCGGTTCCACCCCCGCATTCAGCGATGTGTCAGAGGCTCTCCTGACTCACTGCTGCCTGCCCTAGTGTTGGCTGCAACAGGACCAAAATGCTCTAAGGACCTTCACTTGGGCTCACACAGTTCCATGCTGTGTCATAGAAGGGAAAACTGAGGCTTAAGAGACGTAGTACCACCACTGCCCAGGCTCCAGACCTCAGGGCCCATTTCCTCATCTTAAAGGCAGAGACAACAAGATGTTCTGCCTGTGCTGTTAGGGGAGGCGGAGAAAGCCCCCCAGTGCAGGGTATGTGCCCTCTAGGAGCCCCAGCCATGCTGCCTATTGCTGTTTCTGGGTGCTGCTTGGATGAGGATAGCCACTGGGATAGGGGACAGAGCCCTGCGAGTAGCACCCAGCTAGGGTGGCTTGGGGTAGCAGTCAGGGCTGGCAGGCCAGTGGGGAGGCAGTGCTGACCAAGGATTTGGGAGTCACACTCAGGAGGGGTTGGGCCCCGGGAGCTCCTGTCCCCAGCCAGAAGCCTGGTTTGCATAATGGGACGCTGGGTCAGTCACCTGCTGGAGGCCTTGTGTCCCCAAGACCCTGGGATCAGCGCTGTCTTCTTCACAGGCCTGTGGCGTGGACTACGAAGTCAAAGCCTTCTGTGCAGAGAACCTGGAGGAGAAGATCCACAAAAGGTGTGCAGGCACCGGGTGTGGAGAGGGAGGGGACAGCCAGGAGGGGCGAGTCGGAGGAGGAGCTGAGTCACCGTGCCTCAGTGTCTCCTTTATAGCACACCAGCAGCTTCCTCCTCATCCGCCAGCCTCTAGCTCCTCACCTCTGGACTGCAGTCTTTATATTTTTGGAAAAATCCCTAAATTCAGGTTGTGCTCTGTTGAGCTAGATGCCCTTAGGCCATCTCATTTCCGGTTTCCTCCTGGGAGGCTATGGGTGGAGGCGGGGCCTGTGTGTCCAGGAAGCCCCTAAGCAAGGGATGGAAGTGAAGACGAACCACTCGGGACAGTTGGGGGGCCCAGGCCTCAGAAAAAGGGGCGTTCCTGTGGCCCAGAAACAGCTGGCCCCTACTCCTGGCTGCCTTCCTGGGTTAGACCCTGCCATCTCCTGGCCAGCTGGCGACTCCGCCCAAGGATACCCCTGCATCTTGCGGCAAAGGATACAGCAGCGTCTCAGGGAGTGGGTTGTTTGCCACCTTGTGGCTACTGGAGGTACCGCAGGCATTTCTATCCACAGCCTGGGCCTCTGGCTGAGATGTGTGGGGAGATGAGACCTTCCTCTCTTTTGATTCTGTGTCCCATTATCTTCCTAAGACCTCAGACCAAGGAGAAGGGTGGGTGCTGTGGGTTGCTTCAGGGAGCTTGACCAGAGCGAAGGAGCAGAGGCAACACTGAGAGCCACCATCCTCACTCTACCTCCAAAGTGGTAGTTAAGAAAGACCACACCAATGATTTCCTGGGAATGGTGACGTACTGGTAGTACCTATCATTTCTCAAGGACCCATCATGTACCAAAGATGCTCAAAGTCCTGGACAGACATGGATTCATTTAATTCTCATGACAGTCCTAAGACGTAGGTCCTGCTGATGTCACTGTTTTACAGATGAGGAAACTGAGGCACAGAGGAGTGACTATACTCAAGGTCATATAGTTCCAGAGAGTGGGGGTAGCTTGGAGAGATGGGGATGCCAGCACTCCCAGCGTGCCACCGAGATGGTCTCGCTGAGTCCCTGTCCTTGCCTGTCTCCCCAAGTCCTTGCTTCTCCCTGAGTCCTGTCACCCTTCCTGGGTTCTTCCCATCTGGGAGCCTTTGTTACCTCACTGAGCTGTGTCTTCCCCGGCTAACACTCCCTAGCTGGGCCTGCACCCCCTCACTGAGCCCAGCACCTTCCAGAAACCTATTTCTTATGGGACCCCTGTCCCTTCTGTTTTTTTTTTCTTTTTATTTTTTCAGTGCTAGAAATGGAAGCCAGGGCCTCACACTGGCTATAATCCCAGCCCCATATTTTCACTTAATATTTACTACATGGCAGATACTGTCATAGGGGCTGAAGATACAGCACTACGTCCTAAAGGAACTTTATTGTTAGGTGACTCAGGGATGTGGGAAGTAAAAGCAGTCCTTTCCTTACCATCCTGCTGAGTTCCTAGACACAGACCCAGATGGTGTGTTTCCATGGGGTGGTTGGGAACAGAGTGGGCAGCGAAGGGCTGGGGCCAGAGGGTGCCAAGGCCCCAAGACCATTCTTTGCAGTTGGCTGGATTCTGAGGTGAAGGGGAGCACCGGCAGCCTCTTGAGCAGAGTAGAAATGTAGGAACTGCAAAGACAGGGAATGGAGGTAGGTGACTCTGGTCATCTTTCGCACTGTCCATCTCCATTAGAAATTCTGTACGTCTGGTCATCCGGAAGGTTCAGTATGCCCCAGAGAGGCCTGGCCCCCAGCCCACAGCCGAGACCACCAGGCAGTTCCTCATGTCGGACAAGCCCTTGCACCTAGAGGCCTCCCTGGATAAGGAGGTAGGAGCTGGGACCTGGCAGGGGTGGGGCTGCTCTCCCAGATCCCCTACTCCTGGCCTTGAGGATTCCTCAACCACGAGCCCACACCCCAGTCCTTGGGACTATGCAGCTTGGGGAACGGAGGTCTCTCTTAAGGGTTGGAGGAAGGCTCTTGGGGCCTAAAGGAATGACAGAGGTAGACATGAGCCTGGGGGTTCAGCTGACTTCAGAAGGAAGCAGTGTGATTTTGGAAGGGTTCTGCCCATCTCCTCTCATATCCACCAACTTTGAGCTTCAACCTAAATGGTAAAGACCAGCCAGACTGGCAGAGAAGGGGAGAGTGGGCCCATGGACTCCTTGTAATAATCCTTCCTAACCCTGAGCCATGAGACCACAAATCCTGCAGAATGTGGGGAACTCTAAATAGCCAAATGAGACCTGCTGTGAGCTCAGACAGGCCCCTCCTGGGTGTGGGTACCCTCTCCCTCCTGGGGGTAGCTGAGGGCAAATGCTGGGTGAATGCAGTTAAAGGCCTTCAGTGAGAAGGATCCCCTGTGCACACAGCTGGCCCTTCCTTCCTTTGCCTGACTTCCTCTTGTGTCAACCCACTTGGCAGGGACTTGAGACATCACTTGGTCCAAGTCCTATTGTACCATGGGAGAAACTGAGGCTTACATAACTTGTCCAACATCACACAGCCATTGTCATCACTATTGCTTTTATTGTTATTGTCACTATTGGTGACCAGATCAGGAGCGGAGGCAGGAATATCACCTACTTCAAATATCTTCCAAGAGTCCCCCAAGGGATTGGAAGGCTGATATACTTGGTGGCTTCTGTGCCCCCTTCATACCAGTGGCTAATGAGCTTGGGGCAAAAGTTAGAATAACTAAGGTTTGGGGAACCCCAGGAAGGCCTTTTCCCTTCCCCTTTACCTTAAAGTCTGGTATCTTCCCAGCCAACGCTCCCCTTTCTGCTGCCTCTCAGATCTATTACCATGGAGAACCCATCAGCGTCAATGTCCATGTCACCAACAACACCAACAAGACTGTGAAGAAGATCAAGATCTCGGGTACCCTGGGGAGAGAGTCCGCTCTGGGGGTGGTTGGGATGGGGAGCCCTCCCAAGGGCTGAGGTAGCTGAATGCTTGCCTCTTGCTAAGAGCCTTGCAATACCTGCCAATAATAACTCCTGAACCCGGCCCAGCTCTGGGTTAAGTAGGGACTTTGTAGCTTGTGCCCCAGGCTCCTCATGGCCTTCTGATCACGTCACTTCTTCTGGGTTCCCTGGACTCTGGAAAATGCCGTCCTTGAAGGGAAAACTTTAGGTTAGGGGAAGGAATGGATGTTTTGGGGGCTCCCCTTCAGGTGGAAAGTAGCTCTGGCCATTGCCCAGGCTGAGCACTGCCGCCTGGGGAGGCCGGAAGTGCCCCCTGGGGTTGCCGCTTGCTCACGTACTTCCTCCCTTTGTGCCCGTCCCCTGCCCCCTGCCAGTGCGCCAGTACGCGGACATCTGCCTCTTCAACACCGCGCAGTACAAGTGTCCTGTGGCCATGGAAGAGGCTGAGTGAGTGATAGAGGCTGGGCCTGGGGCTGGGTGGGAAAAAGCAGCTCTGGGTCCAGCCCCAGCTCCGGTGGCCCTGCTCACTTGCAGAAGGCCGGGCCTCAGGCTTCCTTGCCACTTGCAGTAGATGTTCTTGAAGAACCTTCCAGAAACCATCCACCTGATTTAGCTGCAACATAGTGCACACTACAGTCAAAGAAACCCAGCAAGATTTGACAAGAGCTAATGCATGAGAGGGAATTGGGTTTTCAGAGAGAATCACCAGACTGTACCAGAAACTAAGGTGAAAGGGAAAACTTGGGTCTGAGCTTCCTGGGAGGCTCCAGGTACACAGCTTTTCTTGTCTGGTAGAGAAGCCATCCAGCTCCCTGGGTAGAAGGGTTGTGTGTAGGATGGCAAAGAATAATTTTTCAAAAACTATCCACATTTAAGGAGAGCCACTGTGGTTGAGCGTAGGCAGACTTGTCCTGAGCACAGTGGGTGCTAAGAGGCTGCATCTCAAGTAAAAGGTCTTTACTACCTGAAGGAAGTACACGCGTTCATTAGGAGACCCACACTTTTTAACCTGGCCTTAAAAACTTTTTTGGGGGCAGTTGCCCTTTATGTAATGTTACTTGAATATGTGTATATATAATTGCACTTCGTATTTTTTGCCACGTGAAAACATTTTAAAGTGTCTTTGAGATAGTTTTCAATTTCCTATAGATAATGCATTGTAATTAGGTCAGATGTTCCCCTACTATTAGATGTTTCTTATATCTGCTGTTGATTAAGAAGAATCCCTCCCAGCTGAGGTGTAGATTCTTGCTGAGGGATACAGTGAAGCGAGCCAGAGTCAGGGCAGCTTGTGGGCTCTCCAAGGGACCCTGCAGCCCGGGGCGGAGGGCGGGGGGTGAGGGCGGGGAGCTGCTCACACTCAGAGTGTGCATAGGCTGCTTCTCACAGAGGCTTGTGGGGCTGAATAGAGTCAGAGGACGGGACATAACTGTGCTCACAGAGCTGGCAAGGGGCAAAGCACGGTGGTTTCAGGGCCAGCCTACTGGTTGCTGCACTGCAGTTGTCTTGGTGAAAAGGGAGAAAATTAGCAAAGTGCAAAAACAAGGACAAATTGGACCATCAAAACAAATTTTAAAACTCAAACGATTAAAATGCCCTGTCCATGATGGATAGATGTGCCTGCATGAGGAGGTAGCAGTTGCCATAAAGCAGTGAAGTTTTGATTGTAGGACATAGGGAGTGGGTTCTGGGTCTCTGATGGCTTCTCTCGTGGCTTCTGTATAGCTGTGATTTTTAAATAAGTGTACGCTTAGCACTATGCTGTTTCCAAGCCCACGATCAGTCCTGTTTGTGCATGAGGTAGATGTGCCTCTTTTGGGTGGCAGTGGTCTCTGCATCAGAGCTGGGCCTGGTACACACAGTCCCTACATTGGGGGAGAGGGGAACAGGTTGGTAGAGGGAGGTTTGGGCAGGGCCAGGTGGGGTGTCCTGGCTGGGTTGCGACTGAGGCTGGAATTGGTGTGGGGAGGGCCATCTACATGCCTGCCTCCCTTCTTCACAGTGACACAGTGGCACCAAGCTCTACTTTCTGCAAGGTGTACACGCTGACCCCCTTCCTGGCCAACAACCGGGAGAAGCGGGGCCTGGCCCTGGACGGGAAGCTGAAGCATGAGGACACCAACCTGGCCTCCAGCACCCTGTGAGAACCTGCCCTCCTAGTCCCAGCTCCTGGACATGAGTCCCCGCCCTTCCTGATCCCGTTTGTGCAGGGTCAGGTTTGCCTCTCCCAGGGCTGTCTGCAGGAGCCTGACCAATCGGGAAGGTTGTTCCCCTACTCGCACCCACCTAAGAGGACTCAGAGAACAATGGGGACCCTGCACCTGGCTCCCTTAGTGTCCTCAGTCAGAGGCAGTGCTCCTGAGGCTGGAAGGAAGGGAGTGGCTCCTGGAGAGGTGATGGCGTGATGGGCAAATGGGAGGGCTTGGGGGATCTGGAGAGACCAGGCCTTTTTTTTTTTTTTTTTTGTACTGGGGATAGAACTCAGGATCTCGAGCTTGTCAGGCAGGTGCTTATACCATTGAGCTAAATCCCCAGCCCAAGACCAGCCTTTGAGCTGGATGGTCCAGGTGTGGGGTACCCTCCATGTCAGCAATCCCAAGGCTATCTGGTTACTCCTAACTTATGGGAGTCATTAAGCCAAGGGTGTGAGATCCCTTCTTCACCCTCCCTTCTGAGCTCTGGCCTTCCAGTGGCCACCTCGGCAACACGCTGCCCCCTTCCAGCCCAGACTCTATGCCTATGCCCATCTGACCATCATCCCAGTGTAGGCAGCCCCCATCACTCAAGCTTTTTGTCTCCTTCTCTACCCTAGCTTAAATCCTCCCTGTCTGTATGACCTGGTCAGGCACAGCCTCCTTGGACACGGCTTTTCTGACACTTTCGGCTCCTACTGCCCTCACCCTCTGAACTCCCAGCTGGCCCTGTGTGACAGCGGGTTGTCGGGCACAAACATGGGGAGAGAAGCAAATTCCAGAAAGGGCACTTATCACCCATTCCTCACTGTGCTGTTGGGACAGGGCCAGGAGGAGCTGACCAGGGTCACCCAATAATGGGTCTTACAGCCACCGCTGGGAACCAGGGCTCTGAACCACTAGGCTGTGTGGGACATTGTGGCTGGGTACCCCAGGAGAAGAATGGATAGCAGTGCCCCCTACTGAGCCCCATTGCCTGCTGTGTCTCACTTCCCACTGAGGGCCGAGGACAGGCTAACCCATGTTGTCTTGCAGGTTGAGGGAAGGTGCCAACCGTGAGATCCTGGGCATCATTGTTTCCTACAAAGTAAAAGTGAAGCTGGTGGTGTCTCGGGGCGGGTGAGTGCTGCAGCCCAGCCCAAGGTCCCCAAGTAAAGAGGTGCCCAAGCCCCCTGCTCCATTCTTCCTGTTTGTCAGAACTTTTAACTGCATCCTCCTGTGGAGGAGGAATGGGGTCGGAGGACTTTCTGTTCCTCTCTCCCTCCTCCACAGGCCCTGTTCCCTCTCCTCCAGTGCTGTCCCTCCCCCTCCCATTTCCCTCCCTCTCTCCACCTCATCCTTATCCCAGCTGGGTCTTGCATGGAGTGGGCTTGAAGCTGGAGGGTGTCCTCAGAGCCTGCCCTGTGGATGTCCAAGGCCGCTGTCTCTCATATCACCTCGGAGCACAACGTGCACCCTCACTCTTGCCTATACTGACCTGCTTGGGGGTCACATTGCCAGAGATAGATTCTGGGTTTGCTACTTTGGCTGACTTTCCCATTTTACACACAGGGAAGCCAAGGCCCTAACACTTTCCCAGTTACTTCCTGAAGTCTCCTCTACCCTGCTATCATAGGCTGGATCTGGAGTCCCAGCAGTGGGCCAGACATACTTCTTGCCCTGAAGCACAGGGCAGACTGCACCACAGTTTGGTAGAGGCTCAGAAAAAAATTCTACTGCTTTGTAAATTGGGCCTTTATGTTGTAAACCTAGGATTTAAGGTTTCTGATTTGTTGAATGTTTTTTTCAAATTTGGTCCATAAATTTCTAGAGACAGATCTAAACATTAAATAATGTTTGACATTGAGTCCCCTTAATTATTAGAATAACACTGGTCACAAATTATAAGACATCTAAACCCCAAATCCTGTGTTCTGTGGCCTTGCAGGACCCATTGTCTTCTGTATGCTCCTGGTGATGCCAACATGATTCTTTGTGCCATCAGATAGTCCTGGGGCAGGGACAGCCTCTTTCTGTAGCTGTGGATCCTGGGCGCCAGGAAGTTTGCTGAGCTGGGCTTGTACTCTGCTCCAAGGGCAGCTTGAGACTCTCAGGGCCCTGGATGAGCATTCCATGCAGGGGTGGGGTGTCCCCTGGGTCTGCTCTGGAGGGCAGCAGAGGTGGTGAATGAATGTGCTTTCTCTTTTCTCTCTGCACTCTCCTGACCACTCCTCCCGCCTCCTCTGACCCACCCAGCCTGTTGGGAGATCTTGCATCCAGGTAAAGTCCTTCCTTTTTCCTGCTTGAGCCACCTTCCCAGAAGGCCCAAAGACCACTGGCCTGACTGACCAGAATCAGGGGACAATGGGTTGGGAAGAATCTGGAGGTCTTTGCAGATCGAAGACTCAGGGTTAGGTCCCACATTTTCTCCATCCCATTTCTCCATAAAATCCCCTTCCATTTCTTTTTGAAAGCAGAAGAGGTCTCCTAGTTTAATCCCTAGAGGGACTGAGGCTTACAGAGTGGGAGGTCAGGGTGGACCTGCCTCCCTGACCACAAACCCTCTCCAGTCCTCAGACTGACAGGGCGTCAGAGCTCACAGACTGAGACCACTTGGGGCTCACAGGGTTTGGGTCTGTGTTTCAGCGATGTGGCTGTGGAACTGCCCTTCACCTTAATGCACCCCAAACCCAAAGAAGAACCTCCACATCGGGAAGGTGAGCAGGATCTGTGGGGCCCTGGTATGGGGGTTTCCTTTCTTCACCAGCTGCCACGTTACTCTGTCACCCCATCTCCCTCAGACTAGCCTGCAGCCTAGTGTCACCCTTCCCCCAGCAACCGAGGAATTGTGGAGCCCACAATTCCTACCTGTGACCCTGCTGTGAGACAGGGACCCCTGTCCTCTGTTCTCCATGCGAGAGGGGAGCTGGGAGAAGAGGAAGGGCCTGCTGGACACACATGCAGACACAGACTGTCCTCTTCCAGAGGAGCTGCATGGATAAGATCGCCTCTGGACACACTATTTCCATAGTTGTTCAAGGGATAATTAGTTATATTTCATTGAATGTAAGAGAGACAGCATTTCTATGATTAAACTGCAAAATGTCACTGATTATAAAACACACTCCAAGCTCAAGAGAGGTTAAAATGTTAGAAAGAAAAAGTTGTCTTGGAGTTAGTGAAAGTCACGTGATAAGTGACAAATGTAAGTCATGTTGGAAACTTGTCCATGTTTTGGGGCTGCAGTGGGCATTTGGGGCCCTCCTTACAACCCCCTGCTTTGAAGATGATTTGGGGTGTTCCAAGGCCTAGATGAGTCCCCCAGTTCCTTTCCCCTTTGTCCTTTGCCCTCCCTGTATTAGCCTGCTTGTTTGGAGATGGGGCCTGTGCCTACCCATCCCGATCCCTAACTCCTGGGTGCCCTGCCGCCCTGTGTTCAGTTCCAGAGAACGAGGCGCCTGTTGACACCAATCTCATAGAACTTGACACAAAGTAAGCCAAACCCTGCCTGCGGCTGTCTGGGGGTGGGTCTGGGGAGGGTGCCATGGAGGGGTCATTTGCATATATGCTTATTAACCCCTGAAGAGCAGCTGGTCTAACCGTCTGCTGAGAGTCACCTCTGCTCGCCTCTTCAGCAAACCGCTTGCCTGCATGTGATTTGAAGGACCCTCCGTGCCTGTTCCTCTTCCTCCTGCCTTGGTGGGGTCTGTCTTCCTCCCTCGTTCTTGCACATCCGTCAGTCCGTCCGTCCGTCCGTCCATCCATCCACAGCACCTGCTCGGTTCACACAGGGCTGGTTCGAGCCCTGGGATCTGCTGTCCTGTCCTGCCACGCCTATGGGCTGAGGCAGGCAGTGGGTGGGGAAGGGTCTAGGGTCCTGCTGCTTCTGATTTCTGTGGACTACTTGATGTGGATGTCTCTGCGGTGGAAGGACAGTGGACAGCGCAGCACTGGACAGTGGCCAGAGGAGGAGGACCTGGGCCAACAGCACGGATCACCTCCAGGGCCAAGTGGTTTTCTTGCTCCAGCTCCAAAAGCCACCCTTGCTTTGTGCCCAGGGAGAAATCTGGGAGATGGGGGTCTCAAGTCACTCCATAATGATGCTCCATGCTGCTGTCTGAACTCCATGGGGCAGGGGCTTGGATGGAACCTTGCTTGGTCCTAAGTGTACGTGCTTTATGATAGAAGGGAAGCATCGTTAGTAGTGCAACCCCACTCAAGTACCCTAAGCCCACCATGTCCTGTGCCCCTCTGTCATCCCCTCCCCTACCTTGAATGCATGTGAACTGACACTTCCTGAGAGAAAGGGCTTTATGGCTTTCTCTTTCATGAAATCCACCCCACTCCTGTTCAGATCAGGAATGCTTCCTAAGGGTAGCTTGTTGAGTGGGTGATTTTCCTGGGGGGTTGACATATGCTGTAAAACCTTTGGTGGCCTGGCCTCTCCTGGGGAGAATAGTTCTTTCCTCTGGCCACAGAGCCACTCTGCTCCCCCATTCGACATGTCTTACTCACCTCCTCAAAACTGGGTTACTTTTCTAGCTCCTAGGCATGAAAGTCAAGCTCACCCTTCTGGCATTTTGCCACTTCCCCAGGTCCAGATATGGCTGTCCGAACAGCCAGAGACAGACATGCAGATGTGCCAGCCTGGCAGGCCTTCTGCTCAAGGTCAGCCCCAGAGGCCAGAGACCTCAGAATGTGGTTCTCTCCTTGGCCCCTGGGTATTGCATTGGGCCAGTCTTCTGCATCCGCCTCCTCTCCCTGCCCCTGCAAACATACCACATTTTCCTTGTCTCTCCTACCAGTGATGACGACATTGTATTTGAGGACTTTGCTCGCCAGAGACTGAAAGGCATAAAGGACGACAAGGAGGAAGAGGAGGATGTTACCGGCTCCCCACACCTCAACGACAGATAGACTGGGGCCAGTCTCCCTCTGGGCAGCTCTGGTCCACTGTCCCACACTAGGATGCTCACTCGTCTTCTTCTCGTTCTGGTTTTCTTCCCCTTTGTTCTTCCAGTTTCTACCAGGAGGCCTAGTGGTCTCCAGGTCTTGGTGATGGACCTTTGGCCTTGGAACTGGCCCCACATCACCATGCCAACAGGACCGCAGTGCACTGAATTCAACCCTCTCCGAAGTCACCACTCCCTTCCCCCCTTTCCTGCTCACTCCCAGAAAGGCCACCAGGACACCAGTCTTGGATTTGGCTTGAAATGGGGAGTAAAAAGGGGAGGGTGTGCAGGACAGTTGTGGCAATGGTGGGCATGAGGACTCAGAGGCAGGCAGGAAGGATGACCATGTGGAGGGTTCCCCCTTCTGGCTGGAGGGGCAGAGCTGTGGATGGATTCTCAATGCCTTTTTGCAGTTTGGACCCACCAAAGACCGCTCCTCCTTCACCTTCATCTCTGCCTAGGTCCCTTTAGGTTGTGGTGGCATTGGTGAAGACCCTTAGATGCCAGAGCGGGGAAAACAGTGGGCTGACTTTCATACCAGCAGATATCGGAGCTGAGGCCAAGCACATTTCAGTGTGGTCAGCACGTGGCAGCTTAGCTTCCGTGTGCACAGAGATGGGAGGAAGAAAGGTCTTCAGCAGCTGCCAGCCCCAGCAGCTTTGCAGTGTGCTGTCAGAGGCAGGGCAGGGCTGGGAAGATGAGTCCACCTTCCCTTCCTTTGTGGATTTAAGGTGATCACCAGGAATAGGGCTGGAGGACCAGAGGCAGTTGGGCCACCATTATCCCTGTTTTTCTCTGTAGTCCTGCAGGGCTGTCAGACTGGGCCAGCCTTGCAGGTTGAGAAAGAGAGCCCAAGGCCACCATATCCTCTGGATCCTTCTGCAGCAAGTGGCTGGCTCCTTCAGGATGCTGTCCTCCAAAGGGAAGGAGGCTGCTCTATTTCCCTTGGGAGTTGATGACTCCAGTTCTCTGTGTTGTGGGTACCCTGTACCCATCAGCTGATGTTGGTATGATTGAGACCTGGGACATTTCTCAGGAAAACAGGGCAGACAGCTGATAAAGTAGAAAGTGTTAAAAGGTACCATCCTTTTTGTCTGGTCTTTGATGCTAACTTGCTATTCGACCTTGGGCAAGTTTCTTCCCCTCTTTGGGCCTCAGTTCCTCATTGGAAAACCAAGGCGTTTGATGAGACGATCTCAGAAGGCCTACCAGCTCTGGCTTCTGAGATTGAGCATTAGAGCTTCTAGTGTGCTGGGTGGAGCCCAGCTGCAGACTGCTCTAGCCTCCAGACCTCAGAGGGCCGGGCCCAGCCCAGCACCTAGCTCCTCCTCCAGGCCTAGGAAGCACCCTTTTTGGGTTCCAGGAAGTTGCCCAGTGTGAAGCTGTGGCTTGATATAACAAGATGGACAGAGCCCTGTTTGCTGAGGCTTGGGTGGAGACCAGCCCACCTCTCCTCAAGGATTCGGACACCCTGAAGTTTACCCAGGCAGATACATCAATTAGCAAAGCAAGGCAATCTCTTCTCAATTTCTGCTCCCTTTTATTTCAGTTCCACACTTTCTTGGAAAAGGAGGCAGCACAATTTTATTATACAAGTTGGAGCTGAACTTTTTTTAGCCTAGCACATCTGGCAATGGGCTGTGCAACCATCTCCCATGGTGAAGTGACCCAGTCACCTGGCCCTGCCAGGTAATCTCATGAACCCCCAATCCAAGGGACCCCCTTCCCAGGTCAGAAGTGAGTGCAGGGCAGTTATACTCCTTTGGCCAGTCTGGGGTTCCACCTGCAAGTACTCCAGGTATCCAGCTCTTGCTAGAGCTGGCTGGGCAGTTAGTGCCCCTCTAGACAGCTATAGAGGCTGGAACAGCAGGTAGTAAGCATGCGTCTTCCACTGTCTCCCTCTGGAAGCTGAAAGGAGACCCTTGTGTGACCCTCATGTGATTGGGGTTGCCAATCCCCTGCCTGCCTCTTTCTCCATCCCTAATGTGCACACAGAAGATCTGCCAGGCTAGTTTCTTGAGCTTCTTCCACCTCAACATCACACCTTTGGGGTTTATCCCAGTGTTAACTGCAGTTTTCCCAGTTATGGGGAATCAGCAGTGCCCCGTCTGTCTTTTTGCTCCTTGAACCAGGACTGCACACGGCAGTGGTTAAATTAACTGAATTCAGCCTAAACATCCTTTGCTGATGGCGTCTCTACTAGCTCTGGAGACACAGAGATGGGCTGTCCTTAGGAAGCTCGTAGCCAAAATGGTGTTACAAGGTAAAGTGAGAAGAGAGCCATTGCATTTAAGGCTCTGTGGCTGCTCCTGGTCCATGCTGAACCTTGATGTGAATTAGAACCTGGTACCCACCTCCAGGGGGATTTGGACAATAGAATGTCAGCCTCATGGGCGGTGCATGGGTTGGATTTTTGTGCCACTTGTCCCTTGGTGTCTTGCTGTGAAGCTGTGCTATAGTCCTGTGGGACACAGGCCAAAGTGTTTCCTTGGTATCTTCTTAGAGAGGAGGATCCCGATCATTTTTCTAGACCCCCTCACTCCCCTGTCATGACTTAGGGTTCTCTGTAGGGCTTCTACATTCTAGAATCAACCTCGCAGATGACATCCAATTTCATTAGGGGTGTGAGAGCCTCACTAGGCCCCAAAGTCACAGTTTTTGACTCTTTGTTGCCTGTGCCAAACCAGCAGCCCCATACTGTTATTTTCCAGGGATCATGTGGGTGGCACATTGATACCAGTCTGGCAGGAATGAAGAACTTTCTTTGGGTGAAATCACCAGGCTGAGGGCTGGCTGGACTTGCTCAGCACTCCAACCAACAGAAGAGTTCCTTTCCTGGAAAGATAAGAACTCGGTATTTAGCAGGGCCCCCTGGCCTCTTCAGCCTTACAGCCCAGACAAGCAAGAGTGGGCTCATCTTGGTTTTGATTTGCCTGGAAAGCAACCAACAGCTGGTTCCCACATGGTGCAGTGACAAGAATGTTTCTTTGGAAGTCCCCAGTGCCACCTGTCAGTCCTGGTTGTCATCAACAAGGGTGGCCTTGAGCAAGTGACTCAAATTAATGGATCGGTTTTCCTAACTAAAATGGAACAATAATCCTTTTCCTGCCTGACTCATGCATTGTTGTGAGGCCCAGAGAAGGTGGAAATCAGTTGCCAGTTGTCTTTTAAGTAGCCCAATCGTGGCCCTGCAAGTACAAGGGCATGGCCTAAGGTCACACAGGAATTTTGCTGCAGGCTGAGCCGTCTTCCCACCAGTCTTCCTCTCTTGTCTTGCTTCTCACTTTGGTAGATGTGAACCAGAATGAGATTCAGGAAGTTTGGCCTTGGTGACCCAGCTGAGAAGGAAATGTGGACACCACTCAGGACTTATAAGACCAAGGGCAGGGGATTAGGATCCAGGTCAGAGAGAAGACATGGGTGTCAGTGACTGACAACTGTGAGGACAGGGCCATTTTAGGCCCTCTCAGGCCTAGGCCATCCACATTTCCCACCTCTCATCTCACAGAGGTCAAGAAGCCTTGGCCATGACCCCGAGTCAGGGAACTGACCACACCATTTCTCTGTCAAAGAAATCCAAGGGTGAAGGGAAATAGAAAATACCTGCTCCTTCTCTTCAGATTCTAAGGACTCATCCAGGATTAACCAGGGCAACAGCAGCTTCTTGGTGACACTTAGGAGGACCTCAGGCCCAAAATGTCCAGGTCTCTCGCCCCCAAGAGCTGAACGCTGGTTGTTCCATCCCAGTGATTTCAGCAACTCAAGAGAGGCAGCTGCTCTTCTGCCAGTGACTGGGGCCTAGACACTCTCCACCATCCAGGAGGAAGTGGATGGCTGCCATCTTGAACTTATAAGGTCTCATGGACAGGCCTGTGCCTGTTGTGATATTTTTTCTTTTTAAACTCAGTAGGGACCAAAAGAGACCTCTGATCCTCACTCAGCCTGGGATCTGCATTTTGCCACCACCTGGGCCCTGGCACCACTCCACTTTTTCTTTTCCTCCTGGCCAACTGGAAGCAACTGATCCATGGGGCAGATTCCCACCTCTGTCTTGGCCTGTAGGGTCCCCACACAGCAGCTTCAAAGGGATGCCTGAGGGAGAGGGAAGCACCTTCCCCCAATCGTCCCAACTTGTCATCCCAAATGAAAAGTCAAAGCACAGGTCCCTGGGACCCATGACCCACAGATACTCTGTCACAGCGGTTTTCCAAGCACTGTGGACCCCTGGCATGTTCTGTAGGACCCTCAGTATGCCGCAGAGCTTTGTCAGGGGATGCTCTGTGGGAGAGATGGAGTGGAGGCAAGCAGAGGCTGAGTCTGCAGCCCTTCCTCCTTCCTGCCTCCCACCAGAACAGCTCTGCTTTTATCTCTTGCCTACTGAGGTTTCACTTTCAGACTTTGTTTTGAAGAAAAATTCAAACCACCATTCTGAGGTTTGATCTTAGACCAGCAAGTACAGGTTCTATTCTTGCTTTTCATGTTGGAGCAGCTTCAGCATTTCAGTACAAAGTGTCTTTGCATTGAACTTGGGTCACACACTCAGACCTAGTGTTCTCTCTCTCTCTCTCTCTCATAACACATACATGTACACATTTGATGGTTTTCTAGCCAATCTCTGTAGCTCTGGCCTGGGTTTGATGTGGGCAGGGCCTGGTGCTCAGTGAGGATGGGTGTTCCCCCTTGATACTGGTTTTGCAGCACAGGGGACCATGGAGCAAGGAAACAGGACCAGTCCCCACCCAGGGCTCTTATCTACACCCATATGACACCCCACTCTGAACCAGCATGGGACCACAGGGGGACCAGCGTGAGGGGAAATGAAGAAGCTAGAGCCGGGTTGCCCTCTGTCCACAGCCAGGTGGCTGGAAGTCTGGGTTCACAGAACACTTACCCTGAGACAGGGCTCCCCCTGAGACCTTTTAAGCAGCAAGTTGTAGTTCTGGTAGGCTTCTGCACCCACATTTGTGAGCAATCAAGATTGTGAACTACAACGGGCTCTCGTGCCCAAAGAGAGGCACCTGCAGTCTCCCAACTTCTCTGGGTGTCTGCCCAGGTGCCTCACCAGGGCTCCCTACCATGGGGGCATTTTGGTGAAACTTGAACCAGCCCTTGGCACAAAATCTGCTTGGGCCCACCTCCCAGGGAAGTCGAGATGAGGATGTGAAACTCAGGGCACTGCAAGTCACATGGCATGGCAGAAAGCATGCCAACTGGCATCTCGTGTTTAGATGAGGATGCCCCTCAGGATGCCACTGACCTCAGTTTTCCATGTGTAAGTGGGGTGGTTGCAGGGTCTGCATATCTCTTTGGGACTATTGCAAGGGCCATGGGGTAGGTGGTCCTATGCGATGGCAGCATATGAGAGGTGGGTGCCTCATAAACTCTGGCAAGGCTATGACAGTCCATTGGCCCTCAGGAAGGGAGAAGAGAGTGGTCCTCCCAGGCAACTGTGCTCAATATCAAGGCCTGGTTACAGATGCTTTGGGGCTGAGTGGGAGGCAGCCAGTGTGTGTCCTGGGCAGAAGGGGTGGCCAGGGCAGGCTCAGTCTGTGGTCCTTCTGTGAAGTGATTGTTCTGTGGCACTCCGTCCTGGGTCACCTCTGGGGTAATATGTTGTGTCTGTGGCATTCCTTTTACTGTCAGATAAGTTATTATAGTTTATTCCACTCCAACAGGACAAAAGAACCATAAATAGGAGGCCATTAAAGGTCTTTTATGACAGAAGATGCTGGCTGTGCTTTTATTTTTGTCTTACAAATTCCTGGCAGGACACAGTCCAGAGGGGCTGCCCTGCTGCGCTGGACTGGGTTCCATGTTTTCTTCCCTTGTCTGTGGCCCCAGCTCTAACTGTGTCCCTGTACTCACTTCTGGAGAGTTCCAAGACCTCTTTTTCTGTCTCTGCCTGCTACTATCCAGCTATTGGAGGCATGGGAAAGCTGCCAAGCCTCCGATCTCTCTCAGAGCTTACTGGGTTCTGTGATTCCTCAGCTGGTCCTGGGGAAAGCCCCTCGTCTTTATTTTTGTACCAGTGCAGCCTCAGCTGGAATTCCTCAGCTGACCCCCCCAACTCTGGATGGTGACCTCTCGTTCTCTTGCTCTCTGGGGATACCACTGACCTCAGTTTCCCATGTGTAAGTGGGGCTTCTGTTCCTATCCGCTGCTCTGCTGTGTCCACGCCCCGAGCTCGCTTTTGCTCTCTAAGCCTCCCCTGATACCTGGGCTGAGAATCCATGGGAGGGAGGGGCAGGGAACTGGGTGAGGAAGAGTCAACATCCTGCCAGATAATGTACTGTTTTGACATAAAGAGAAGAAAGAGACCTCAGAATATAAAATCACTTTCCTAGAAAAGTAATTATGTAATAAAATGTGTTTATATTCCTATAAAATAGTGAGCAGCTAGATCTAAGCTGTGCCTTCCTGGTAGGAGGAGAGCTGCCTTTTCCCTTCCAGCCAGAGCAGGACAGTGGGAAGACACACTCAGGCGAGGAGACCTGTGCCAGAGCTTCTCTTCTACTGACCCCAGCCCCATGGATCCAATTCAACCCGATCCAGATCAACGGAGTCAATGCCAAGAGTCTTTCGTTTGTTTTTTTAGACCTCTGGGGATCAACCCACAGCCCCATGCATGCTAAGCAAGTGCTCTACCACTAAGCTACACCTCTGTGGCAGGAGTTTAATTGAGGAAATTGATTAGTTAAATGTTAGATGAAAAAGCAAATGAAATATGGCAACTCAAAGATCACCAGGAAGCTTTTACCATTTCTAGGATAGAGGAACAAGGAGAGGGGTGGAATCACCCTCGCCATGGAACCAGGACAGCTCAGCAGGGACACTGAAGCAGACAGCGTCTGAGGAAGACAGAATAACCAACTAAACAACAGACCCACCCATCCATAGCTATCGCTGGGGATGCTGCCCAAACCAGAAAGAGAGGGAGAGAGAGAGGGGAGGGAGAGAGAAAGACGGAGACAGAGAGACAGAGACAGAGAAGGAGAAGGAGAAATACTTGGCTTACCTTTAATTCCTACCCTCTAATTTCATGCTAGTGGCTTTTATTAACAGAATCTGATTATAAGCTTATTTGAAAGGAATTTGGGGGAATGTAGTTTGGAGCGGTCAGTGTCTGGAGATACAGAACGAGAGGAGGGATCAGACCTGAAACCAAATAAGCAAATGACCAGTCTTCCTTAGTCTCATCTAAAACACAAATCAGGAGGGCTCTGACATTTTAAGAGAATTCCAAGCACAGGAGAGACATTTGTCACTTGTCTTTTAGCCTTTCTACATTGTAACTTTATTTGTAATTGTTTGGAGTTTCATTTTGCTAGCTGTTCTTTTTTTTTTTTTTGGTGGTACTGGGGATAGAACCAGCTAACTTATTCATACTAAGCAAGTGCTCTGACACCTACACCCACACCCCTTTGTTTTGCTGGTTTTTTTTTTTTTTTTTTTTTTTGGTACTGGTGATTGAATTCAAGACCATCACATTAAACTATAGCTTTAGACCTTTTTACTTTTTGAGGCAGGATCTTGAAAAGTCACTAAATTGCCTGGGCTTGAACATGTAGTCCTTCTGCCTCAGCCTCCCAGAGCATTACAGGCATGTGCCATCATGCCCATCTTTGCTTGGCTTTTTAAAACTCCAGATGATCAAAAGAAAGTGAAGAAGTTTGAATTTTGGCTAAGGAGTAGTAAGTCCATAACACTCCCACTTTGTATACCTAAAAACTCTGAGGAAAATTATGAAATACAGTTACATAATGACTCTGAAAGTCAAACAAAACTAGAAGATGGAATAAGAGAGTCAAAACTTAGAGAAATAATCTGCATGTAGTAAATTTTTCTTATCTTTTCTCTTGTGGCATTGCACTGAGATTAGGACCACAACCCACAGAAGATAAGATAGATCTTAAGCTATGAATTTACTTCGGCTGATTACCTTTGAGACCACAATAAAAACAAAGTCAACATTCTGTACAAAATTGTAACAGTACCCAGAATCTACACAATACAATAGTCACAATGTCCAGAACACAACCTGAAATTATTCAACAAACAGAGTCAGAAAAAAGTGGGACCAGTTCCCAAGGGAAAATACAATCACCAGATACCAACACTAAGGTGACTTAGATGGTGGGATTATTATAAAAGACTTTGAAGTGCCTATTAGAATTTGAAATAGGTGGAAAGATAGTGGTTCACAGCACAGATATAGAAACCATAAAGAAAACCAAATAGAAATTTTAGAACTAAAAAATAACACTTAAAATCTTTCCTGCATGAGTTTATAGTAGAATGGAAATCCCAGAGAAGAGTCAGTAAATTTGTGGACCAATAGAAATTGCTGTCTCTAGTCAGGCATAGTGGAACACGTCTGTAATCCCAGCACTCAGGGCAGAGGCAGCAGGATGGCTGTGATGTTGAGGCCAGCCAGGGTTACAAAGTGAGACTCTGCCTCAAAAAAACAAACAAAAAATAAAAACAAAAAAGAAACAAAAATAAATCATTGTCTCTGAAAAATGGAAGCAAAAAGATGGAAACAAACAAATAAAAACCTTGAACAAACCAGAGCCTTGGGGACATATGGAGCAATACAATAGGATTCAAGATTCGCATCACTGAACTCTAAGAGAAGGGAGAAGAAAGACTGATGCATACAACATATTTGAAGAAATCACGGCCATTAACATCCCAAATTTGGTGAAAGACATAAATTTACAGATTCAGGAAGTCAGGAAGCTGTGTGAATCCCATATAAATCAATGAAATTACACAGCCACGTATAACCAAACTGGCACAAACCAAAGATTAAAAAATCCTGAAAGCTGCTAGAAAAAAAATGACGCATTCTTGTAAATTATTCCACTCAAAGAATTATTATCTGAATGCAGATATCTTAATAGAAAACACAAAAGTCAGAAGAGTGTAAAACAGTTTTAAAGTGCTAAAAGAATTGTCAGCTCAGGACTCCATATCTGGTAGGAATCCTTCAAGAATGGATACCAAACTGGGTGTGACGGCGCACTCCTGTAACACCAGCACCCAGGAGACAGGATCACTGTGAGTTCAAGGCCAGGCTGGGCTACAAAGTGAGATTATCTCAAAAAAAAAAGTGGATAAAGAAATTCTCAAATGAAGAATTAAGAAAGAAGGGAATTAGTCACCAGAGACTTTATTCTAGAAAAAAGCTAAATGAAAGTATTTAGGTTGAATAAAAATGATGCCTACAATAAATCAAGATAAGAGCAACAGATTGTAAATATTTGATTAATATAGGTTACTTTTATTGTCATATATATATATATGACTACTGAAGGAAAAACTATAACATTTATCTGATAGACTTTTCATTGGTGATAGTTGAAATATCTCTGAAAACTATAATAGGCAATAGGCAATAGATGTAATACATATGACAATTATAATGTACAGACCAGTGAGGGAAGATAAATCTTGTTCATAAATCTTCTCTATTGTTATGATTTGTGTCTAGGTGTCCCCATCCCTCAAAGCCTCATGTAGTCATGGAGTGGGGAGTGTTTCAGAGGTGGCTGGGTCTAGAATGTGTGGTGCTGGGACCAAGGGTGTGTGATTACTAAATCAGTCCACTGATTGGTTTGGCATTGTTCTGGCTAGGACTAAGGATGTGAGTGCTACACCTTGGCTAGGACAGGTAGTTTGCATACAATTTAAGGGACAGGAAGACGGCTAATGTGCTCTCGCCTACCTGCTTGCTATTTCTCCTCTACGATGCTCCTCTGCCAGGTCGCTCTGCCTTGAGTCAGCCTGCTATTCATTGAAACCTTTACAAGCTGTGAGCCAAATAAATCTTTCCTCCTTTAACTTTGGGTGTTGGGTATTTTATCTCAGCAAAAGAAAAGCAACTAAGACATGTATTATATTTGAAATGATACAGTATTAACTCTATGTAGACTGACAGGTTATGTATGTCTATTATGATACCCATAGTAACAACTAATAGTATAGCCAATGCAAAGTAAAGTAGAAACACTTAAAATAACATGCTAAAAACAATTGGAAGGGCTAGGGATATAGCTCAGCGGCACAGCACCTGCCTGCCAAGCACAAAATCATGAGTTTAATCCCTGGTACCAAACAAAAACAAAAACAACCCCTCCCAAACCAAAACAACAACAATGACCATATTGATATTTGTTAAAGTAGACTTCAGAGCCAAAAATGGTACCAGGGCTAAAGAAAAACATACATAACAATGAAAGTGTCAATTTACTAAGGAAACATAATGATCTTAAATGTATATGCATCCGATCATGTAACCAAAAATACAAATAGTGGAACTGAAAGGAGAAATAAACAAATTTAAAACATTTCTGTCTCAGTAACTGAGAGTAATGAGAGGATATGAGCAAGGATACTGAAAGATCTGAAAAATACTAATTAGCTTTCATTACAGAGTATTTCACTTCAAAACAATAGAATGTGCATTCTTTTCAAGTGCATAAGAAGAAGGAACATTTTTGTGGCCTAAAAACTAGCAAATTTAAAAACATTTAAATAATAAATATAATCTCTGATCATAACAGAAAAAAACTGGAAATAAAAACAGAAAAGTATCTGGAAATTTTGGAATATTCAGACAACAAGCAATGTCTCTAAATGAGTCAAAAAGGAAATTAGAAAATATTGTTCTGGAAAAATGTTTGAATTAAACAAAAGTGAAAATAAATATCTGAATTCACAAG